CCCCCCCCCCCCCCGGGGAGCCCCCGGGGGGGCCCCCCGGGGGGCTATGTCTCCACATAGCAGTGCTGACACCTAAGGGAGGGGAGAAGGAAGCAGAGATTGTCAGATAATGTTTGTGTTCGGGAAAGAAAGGGAAAGGGAAAAGGAAAAGGGAACAGGAAAGGGAAAGGGAACGGGGGATAGCGGATAACAACCCCCCCCCCCCCTTTTGCTGTTGGCAGGTTTGGACCGATGGAAGTAATCGAGTTCCCAACGGTGCTGCTAGACGCACATTCTCTCAAAGTGCTCGACGAGTTTCGCGTCTACGTACGTCCTGTCCGGCACCCCGTCCTCACACCCTTCTGCACTAGCCTGACGGGGATAGAACAGGTACGCATCGACGGCGGTTTGTCGTTTTTCTCGCGCGTACATATTTGTTTGGCGTTTGACGTGCAGCAGATCGTGTAGCAGCAGCGGTTGCCGTTGTTGTTGTTGATGTTGTTGTTGTTTTTTTTTTTGTAGCAATGGTGTTGCTGCTGATGCTGCTAACGTTCCAATTCTCTCAGAAGCAAATACGTTCACCCCTGCCGTAGCTGACCACAAAACGTAATGTAGACAAGAAAACATGAATGACCGCACTGAGTTAAGAACAATCCCGTTGTCATCTACCCGGCCATTGTACCGTCCTCACAAGGGCGCCGTTGGGGTGGTGGAGTCGATTTTCTGGTCGTCATTGTCTTCATTGTTGTTGTTGTCGTTGTCTTCACATCAAAAACCGTTCCGATCTCTTTACCCAGGGCCTTCTTCTGTCCGTACTCATCTAACTCTTGACGCGGTCGGTTCCCGTGACCACAGGCTAACTTTTCCCTAAAAAGAGTATACTCAAATGCAATGGACCCAAAGGGTTCGCAAGCCAAATGAAATCAACGACAGATGTGTGCGTGTGTTCTTGTTACTATTAGCAACGACCGCGCGAACCGGCTGGCCAATGAAAAAGATGTCAGCCTCGTTGCCATCGAGAACAGAAATTTCTTCTCAAGGATCGTGTTTGTGTGTGTTTGCCACGATGGCAGCGACAATTACGGCCACTCATCAACAAAAAACGAAGCAGGTAAACGACCACCTACCCTCGGCTTCCTTGCATGTAGTGCAAGTCTTGAAGAGGAGACGGGGATTTTTCAAAAGGAGAATTTCGGAGTTTGCGTTTGGTCGAGCGTCCGTCCGGCTTGGAGGCGCTCCGTCGCTTTATTGGCACTGCTGTGGGTGGGACATAGTGGGGGGGTGTACTCATAGTCGTGCATGCCGTAGTCGTTAGACCATTGACCTCGCATCCCTACAAAGCCGGGACGGAGCATGTGGGACATAGTGGGGGGGGGGGGCTCAAATTAACGCTGGCTGATATACGCCGGTTGCCCTGTGTATAACGCCGGTGAAATGCTGGGCACTGACTGAATCACAAGCTTTACTGCACTTCGAATAGCGCCGGTCCCTTTGAACAACTACAGTCGATTCACCGGGCACATATATAGTTCCTGAATCACCAAGATTTTCTGTGATTTGAGCAACGACGGTCAATTCACCGGATACATACACTCGACCACTGCTATATGCACCTAGTAGGCGTGCTCCTCGAACCCGTCTCCACGCTGTGCTTGTCGTTTCCTCGTGACACCGGACGACCAGTCCACCGTGGACGGGGGAGTTCTGTTCGAGGAGGCGCTTTCACAACACACGGAGTTCTTGCGGCGCAATTCGTGCCTTCCCGGCCAAGAACGGTCGTGCCTCTTCGTAACATGCGGTGAGACCTGGGGCCTAGTATGAGCTTCGTGGGTAGTAGACTCCTGCCCATGAGGGAGGGCAAGGTGTCGGGAATCATTCCACATATGCGACCCAAAGTAACACACACGCAAGATAACACCCCCCCACACAACACCACACCCGATGGTATTTTGTTTTGGGGAATCTCGAGCCCAAAGAATATGCACTACTGTCAGATCAAAGTAGCAGGGCGACGTAAAATCTCACTCAACCCCGGAAGGACAACCCCCGGTGACGTAGACTATTGTTTTTGAAGAAAAAAATGGTGTATCACCGGGACGTGCTTTCTTGCGTCACACGCGGTTAGTCACCGCCGTTACATGCACAGCAATCAAAGAAGAAAACGCGTACATACAGCAGTAGCACAACCGAATGAAGTCAGGGTACGTGTTCGTTCGACTTGTGCGCCTGTTCATGGCTACCTGTATCCCTCTGCCTCCGGTAATGGCGGTGGGCGCTGCTGCAACGCGACGCTTTAAACGAGGAGGAAACTGGGACCTCAAGACCATGATGCCCGCGCAGTGCAAGCTCATCGACGCCCCGGTGCCTCCACACTTCAACAGCTGGGCCAACATTAAGGAGGTTTTCAGGGTGAGACCACGACAGCCGACCATATGCGCAACAGCAGCAGTGCGATGCTGAAAAATCGCGTGGACATTCCCCTGCCGAGGTGCTTCTACGGTGCAGCTGTTGGACCTGCGAGCAACGCGAGTTCATTGAACCCTCGGAGAAATAAAAAGATCGGCTAAATGCCGTTGCTTCTGTCGCCCTTAAACTATCGTAAGCAACCCTCGGCAGTGTTCACGCCCGGTTACTTCCTCGTGCACCAGTACCGCCACACCCAACCCCACCCACAGACCTGATTTCTAGCTGGCTCTTGGCTCATCCCGTGCGTTGTTGACCCCAGGACGAGATGTACCGAGCCAACCGGCAGTCTCAACGGCGACCCCGTGGTGGGAAGTTGAGCGACATGCCAGCCATGCTCTCTGCTCTGGGCTTAGTGCTGGAAGGGCGGCACCACAGCGGGTTGGACGACTGCAGGAACATCGCTAGGATAGCGATACAGCTGTGTCGCCGAAGCAGGTAACACTACTTTTTTGGCCGACATCGAAATTGGCTGACTTGTGGGATTACACACGCGTAGGGGCCGTGCTAAGGCGACACCATCTGTACGATAAGGGGCATGGGTGTTAATTATTGCTGCCAATGACCACATGCTTCGCTGCCTAGTGTGCCTTTGGTTTGTTCGGCGTTTGTGGCGTGAGCGCCCAGTTCTCGTTAGATGGCACGCACCGTTTCGCAAGGGGCGCAGCGTCAATAATGGTAATAATGGTCAAGTGGATACGGGGTGCAGTGAAGACTCCCCCCTCCTCCCCCCCCCGGGCCTCGTGAAGTGCAAGCTATCAAGTGTTTTGTACTGCAATACGTAATAGTAGTAGTAGTTAAATTATTTTTCCTGATGAACGTCTTGTCGTCTAGATTATTTTTCCCTCGGTTTCTCCGGCCTCACTGCGCCGTTGCCTACCTGATAATCACAGGGTACTCACCCCCCCCC